CGAACTATTGTGGATGTTTCCTCAAAAGACCACTACAGAATCAACTTGCACGGTTCTCACACATTACATAATCTGTCTGGACTTTAAGAGACAATGACCTCTGAGTTTGTTTCGGCATTTCTTTTTAGAGTAGTCAGTTAGGAAATGTCGGCCCTTACATAGTAATTTAAAGATTGACATGTAAAAATGTTACCTTATAACCTATTTGCAGAAATAAATATCATTTCATTTCATAACATAACCTCACGCAGATGTCTCCTATGGATAGGTTAGAGTACGGAACGCCTTTGAGGGCTGTCGTATTTATCTCTCTAGATGGCGTTAGTGTCAACATCTCATTCTTCGTCCAATAAGGAATTAGCTAGGGCCACACTATTGGACGCTCAACATTTGACAGCCGCTGTGATTGGACCAAAACTCTTGCTACATTTGCGCCATCCATAGCCCAGAGCCAATAGGCATGGCGACTATTTTTTAATTTTTTGTCCATCTTTTAGATATTTTAAAAATCTTCGATACGTATTTTTTCTTTTTTCTCGTATCCAAAAAAACATGTAGATATTTTGAGTTAAAATGACGCGTGACGTCACACTTAGGTACGATTTCTCCGTAAGTGTGACGTCAACACCCCCCACTCCCTAACTTTAATGCGGAATAACTACGTATTCTTCTGTTAATTTGATAAAACAAAAAATACGTGTCTGATATTTTCGTGCGATCTTAATGACGGACTAATTACTTTTTTGATTTTTTTACCCTGTCGACACGCCTATTGTTACACCGTCATCGTCCCATGAACACTAACCAGAACATACGTCAAATATCGAAAATTTTCTCAAAATCACTTCCAATCAATTAGCCACACTACATACCTAAAGCAGACTTTTCAATAAATACTCGAAAATACCCAATTCTAAGTAGGTTTTTTTCAAAAAAACCCGTTTTTTTTTAATCTATACTAAACCCGATACTCGACCAAAGACACTAACATAGGTGTTAACTTAGTCCGAGTTGTACGTTTATCGAGATCGACGAGACCGCGTCCAGCGCTCTGATTGGCTGATGAACCAACCAACCATAGCGACCGTGGTCTCTTTAAACGTAAACTGACACTAAGCCCTTTAAAAACAAAAACTTAATTATTCTGGCTGTCGAGAGGTCCAAAAATGACCTCACAATTTGGTCTTATAGCCTTAAAAATTTCGACGCCATTTGCAGTGACCGCTGTATCAGTGAAATCTACGTGAAGTAAATGTGGCGCTGCGGTCGCTAAATGCTCCAAACTCCTATTAGTGATCTGCCTATAACCGGTCGCGGATAAGATCCTCAAATTAGCCCTATCAGGCCTATAATCGAAAGGTGGTATCTCATTGGGGTTGCCCCTAAACCTGCCTAGATGTATGTAGTTAATATTTTCGTTCGCCGCTCTACCGAAACGTTCTATCGCCGTGTCTGAGACAAGGTGATATCCTATACTCGTCCTTGCACCCGTGTCTTCATTGTACCCTAGTTCTGCAGACAGTCGTTCACGATAGTCGAGCGAGCATTCAAATGGCCTATTTTCAAAGTTTACACACCGGAATTTCGAGATTGGGAACATTTGGTCATCGTCGTCGTCATCTGCGTTGTCATCGTCATTGTCTTGCATACGAGGTCGTTTACTGTCGTTGGGTTCATCCGGTTCAGCGCGTCGTTTCGATGGACCCGCTTCTGGTTGGTCTGAGGGACCCGGTTGAGGCGAGGGACCCGGTTGAGACGGGCCCGCTTGAGGTGAGGGACCTGGTTGAGCTGGGCCTGGTTGAGCTGGACCCGGTTGAGCAGGGCCCGGTTGAGCAGGGCCCGGTTGATCCGGGCCCGGTTGAGGTTCTTCACGTCGCAGGTTCCCCAATTGGCCGTTGATTAGCCGCGCCGTGTTCGGTTGGATTACTATGACACTATCAGAAAAAGAAACATTATACATATATTATATATATATATTTAAGAATAGTATTTAGACTTGGTAGGCCCAGAAGGATGGGCTCGCTGCCATCGCAGCGGTAAGTCCCCTCTTTGAGGAGTGGCTTGAGAGACGCTACGGCGTCCTCACCTACCGCCTGACGCAGGTCCTCACCGGACATGGAAGTTTCGGGAGGTACCTGTGTCTGATGGGGCGGGAGGAAACGCCCGGGTGTCATCACTGCGAGGACCGCCCTGAGGACACGGTGGAACACACGGTGGGAGAATGCCCTTCGTGGGCTGAGCACCGCCGTGTCCTCAGGGAAGTGATCGGCGATGGCGACCTCTCGCGTCCGGGCCTAGTGCAGGCCATGATGCGGAGCGAGGGGGATTGGGATGCCGTCTCCTCCTTTTGCGAAGCAGTCATGCTAGCTAAGGAGGAGGCGGGACGCGTGAGGCAGCGAAGCGCTGCCTCCTCGCAACCCAGCCATCGCGAAGGACACACCGGGCGTCGGGGATCGCGGGACGATCTCCGGCCACCGTAAGCGCGGGCCTGCGGACGGCGAGCATGGGTGGCTCCCCGTCCGACCAGAAACAGACCCGAGCGTACGGCGCGTCGCGTTCCGCGCGCGCCTCAAAGAGCCATCAGACCACCACAGATGGGGCCCAATAGGGCCGATGCCGATTCGGAGTCGCGGAGAACCTAACGGGTAACCGGGGCTCCGGCTCGACGTGCAGGAGAAGGAACGGGGTGGTTTTTAGTCAGTAAGAGTCTGACACTCCCTC